GGTAGTCACCAATGATTCCTAAATGAAAATGAAAAATTCGGTGAAAAATTATTATTGGGTGCCATCGTATGAATCAACCACCTGCGAAACATTAATCTTCGGTTAAAATTCCGAGGCAGTAGAGCTTGGACCAGCTGTATGTGATATGGGTATAGGAAGTTTTTTTTCAGAACTGTCCATACAGTTTTTGGGGTGACTTCTGGCTACAGTGCCATCGTTCTGGCACTATTTGAAGAATCTTCTTTTATAGCATCAAGTATAGCTTCTTCTAGTTCAAGAATTATTACAGTTTCTAGTCTTCCACCACCTGTATTCTAATCAAAACTCTCAATTTCACATACTTTTGCATGTAGCGTGCTAAATGTTTGAGAACATGGAATTAATCTGTTGAGATATGTGTCCTGGTGAATTATATGTGCTTCTTCTTCATTTCCATTTGCTAATCTATTAATGAAGTACACGTCAGCCATTTCAGCTTCAGTGGAATTATTCATGATGAAATTACTGCTAATTGACAGCTCTGACTTTCACTTATATGACAACAGTATCACTGTCAGCTGGTCTCCAAAGCAGTAGTTCAGGATATGCAAACTGGCTCCAATTTTTTTTCTCGAAAACGAAGCTAGATATGAAAGAAAAAGTTTTATTTTCTGTTGAATAATTAGAAAAATGAAAATCCACAACAAGTCAGTGTCGTACTTTTTTTGCCAATATTGTTGGCTGTGGTGTCTACTCAGACTTCATTAAACCTAATAATGTCAATCTATTTTGGGCAGAATTAGCTGCTCATTACATAACTGTAGGATATTCATGATATTCTATAAATCCTGTTTCATCCAAACTTCAACCCTCTGTATATCAGAAACGACGCAACTCCGATCATATGTTCTTGGAAACTTTTTTCTGAAAACAGCCTAACGAATCACCCTCCAAAGTTCACTACCGTAGTTAGAAAATACCCTGTGTATTTGTTTCTTTCTACGTAATGTGACAAAAACAACCACGTATTATTTCTTGAGAAAAACATTTATTCATATTTAATATCGAATTTTGAATATCCTGTTATCCTTTCATCAATCTTATCTGGTTCTTTATGTTTATACCTATTATAACTTATATTCTGATTTCAGATTCCATGAAAAAACTAAGGACTTATTTATTCCCTATCGAATGAATGAGTTCCTTTGTGAGAAATAATGGCAAAAATTAAAATCAGTGATATTCTACTGAATTACTAACCTGGTTATATGGTTTGTGCATAAATACTTCATACATGTATTTTAGTCCGAAAAAATCGTGACTTATCAGTGAATCAAACTATATCACAATTTCAGAGATCAGAAAATAAAAGTCTGAAGGAAGTGTGAATATTATCAGACTGATATGGAATTGAGTATTCCATCAGCATCAATTTGAACGCAAAAATAACAAAAAAAGGTTTCTACGCCCATGTTAAGCATTCTGTTTTCAGACATTATCATTACTTCCGTTTCTACACAATTTGTGATTCCAAATTTCATTCTGTCATGTGGTTTGAAAATGAGAAAAACTCCATTTTCCTTCTATTTCTCAATTTCAGCCGCAGCATTTTATGTATGTATGAGGATATCTTTCTGGGTATAAAACAAATTTGAGAAAACATTGTGGCGAATTGTTCCGCTGGGATATTTTTATAATTCACAATGTATTTTTTTTGTCGTACCACGATCACAAATGTGATAGGATTCTTGAGTTGCTCGAATTGATTTATTGTCATACGGCAAGGAAAATAATAAACAGTTGTATTCGAAATTAGGTATAATACTTCAAAATTTTGAAATGTTCTATATTAGAAAAAAACTTGGTGTGAATTTTCGATCGAAAAAAACAGTTGGGATTGAAAAAAATCTTTCAAAGTATTAGGGATACCACCTCCGCTTTGTTTCGAAGCAGGCATGCTTTCCTTCACTATTTTATCATATATAATAATATATACCAGAATGTACTACGTTTCCTCATAAATCATTTATGACCACTTCCATTATGATCTGAGAAAAATGGTAACTCGTTCGTTACAAAGTTCCAGAACAGTGAAGGCATAACCCTCTGAAGGAAAAAAATTGATATTGACTTTAACTTACAGAAATAACTTTCAATTTCTATTTGTACCTCCGGAATTTTTGGGCAGAAAATACTATTGTTTAATTCATTCAAATCACACAATTAATTATGAGACATATCCAGTGAGAATATCACAACAAAATGTTACCTGCTATCGCATTTCTTCTCCAGGACTTCATCATTTGTGTTCACTTTTTCTGATAGGGGTACACTTATGTTTCGCTTGCGTTTACGCAGTACTTTCTTGGTTTTTCTCATTTTGTCTTCAATCGAGGACCGCCTGCCCGGTACTGACGATGTCCAATAGGCTGAAATAGCTGTCTACCGGTGGCTGTTAAATTGAAATCAATATGGGAGTGATCAAAAAGTACTTATCTATTTATTTTTTGATTTTCATGGAATTATTGCAGCTTGCATGGAATTAATGCAGCTTGACTGCATTAACCTTTCTAGATTTTCCGGGTGTTCATCCGTTGTGTACTATTCGATAGTCGAAGTTTCGCCATGTAACTCTCGTTACACCTCTCGAAGCGAAGCAGTAACTCGTCTTGATAATGCCATCTGAGATGATGGCGAAACGTCGACTATCGAATAGTACACAACGGATGAACACCTCTGTTTCACTATCACTGTCGTCATTTAAATCAATAATGAATTTATTTCCATCATTGATATGGAAGCGTCCAATGTCCATAAAGTCTTTTTCAAATGAATTTAGTATTTCAATCCTTTTTTGCCAGTGTTCTTCGGTAATATCAGATACTTCTTCTTTGATTAGCTTGTCCATACTTTTCAGCAATACTCTGTAGGGAATACACTTTTTCGAATGTTTTTGTGTGTAAAACTTCAAGTAGTGTTTTCCATTAAAAAACTTTGTATTTCATATTTCCTCGAATTTTTATTCGATACTTTGATGAGCTGTCGAGAATGATAGGAAGCGTTGTCAAAAACTATTACACTATTCGCATTCAAATTTGGGATTCATGTATTTTCAAACCATTTCTCGAAAATATAACCTTCTTAGTTCTTATGATAGTCAACACTGTAGTCCTCAAGTTTTTTTCACATAATTTCAAAGAATTTGGAACCCATCCTTGACTTCCTCCGCAATGCAAATTGATTAGTCAATCCTTTGTTTGCAGGCACTCTAGGCGTACACATTCTCGAACCACCAGTCCACCCTTTTGTAACTGAGTCGTGAATGTCACACCAAGTTTCGTCCATATAGAAAATTTGTCGTTGTTCTTGTCTATATTTAGTTATTTGTTCTAAGTATTTGGTACGCAATTCCACTATTCTTTTGCTTTCCATAACTGCTTGACGTTTGTTCATTATTTCACAGCAGCTCAAGTTATGGCCGGGAATACTCAATTTCTTCCGTATGATTTCAGTTGTAGGAATCTCATTTCTTTTGTAACAGTTGTATATGGTTTTTCTCAATGATTTTATTCGATGAATATCTAAAAGTTTTGGTAATTCTGTATCATATCGCGTCTTGCGTTCATAAGGTTTGTTTTTGACTATTTTACGTACAGTTGAAAAATTAATTAAGGTCAATACTGATGTTGTTTGTAATAGTTTGTTTCTCTCGAAACCAAACTTGAGATCCTTATATACATTGAATATTCAATATTCCAATATTCAAATGCATCTGAATCTTATTCACTGTTATCTCTTTTTCGCATTGTTCACCATCGCTATTGGAATCACTACACTGGAAAAGTCTGCGTTGTTATCACACTTGTTATTACTATTAGTACTTATAAGTAATTATAACTGCACCAATACCGAATTTCAACACTCAAATCTCGATCAGTTTCTGAACTGAACATTGATGAGACGACGGCGATAACCAAATCCGCGTTTTCCGATTTTTATTCGTATTCGTATTTCTACCGTAACATGACTTCAAATTTGATTTTAAAATTCTTTAGCCAATCATAAATCTCGGTTAGTAAAAATTATCCTATACGAACCGCTAATTTTACATTCCACGTGGACTAGTTCGCAGCTGGTTTATTTCCATGTATTTGTTTTTTGGCCTTTGAGAGTGCCGCCAACTTTAATTGTGCACAATATCGTTTACTTCGACTATACGTGACTGATTGAATAATAACTCCATGGTTTGAACACTAGTTGACTTTATTACAATTAATACTTGTAGAACAATCTGAAAATATGACTCAATCAAGAACATTCAGTACTAATTGGCTAGGAATATTCATTATTAGGTTTGCATCGACCAACGAAGGGTGACGATGTCAAAGCAGCTCAGTTGTAAGTAATTATGCCACAAAATGTAATCTAGAAATATACATCACAGTACATACAAAGGTAAATTGCATTAGAATAATATAGTAAGTCTGAAAACATGATAATCAAAATCATATCCCTATTTTATCATTGAGTCTCCCAATGGTCGAATGATGGTGATCATCGTGAACCGGTTGAGAACAGGTTCATTTTTGAAAAAAAAAGTTCATTATTGAAGTAAATGTAATTGCAAATATTTAATACCACCAAATGAAAATATAAAATATTTGAAAAATTCTTTTGCGTTATTTTCTATTTTGAAAAATAAGAACTATATGTATATCTTAGCCAAATAGCCCAAATAGCTATTTACGAATCCGAAGAAGATGGTTTGGATATTTATGTTCATACGGTTCAGCTAAATCCCAGGCTGAACCTGATGAATGTAAACATTTCGAGAATGAATACGGAGATATTTCAAAATGATATAAATCGTCTTTCACCTTGTACACATTTAATGAAATATATTTTGAACGTCATTGAATATATCATTGGATATTTTCAAGTATAACTTCATGATATTTATTGATAAAACCTCATCTGATTGCCAAACTGAATAAATCGACATTGATCATTTGTAACAAAGGGTATGTTGAGATAAGGTTGTTTATGTAACACAAACAGTTAGGTTTATGTAATACTTGATGATAAAAAAGATATAATTTCGCTCCAAGTGCTTTGGCTATCCTTTCATTAGTATTGTGAGATGATGAGGAGTGAACAAAATATTTCATTCGTGATTTGTTTGAATTTAGTCTGCTTTTGGATTATATCCGAAGCAACTGTGATAAATGTTAAGCGTTTCAACAATGAGTCGACAGAGATGTTGACAACACGATTGGAAAGTATATCGGTGTTTGACATAGTAAGTGGTTTTAATACATGTTATCACCCTCAGAACAGGTATAGGGTGAAACTTTATCCTAATCGGAAATGAAAAAATAATCATCATGAACTTTCATATTGCAACGTAGGTATTTGTGTCGGTTCTTGATAATGAGTGATATGCTCAATCAAAACACAAAAACTTATATAATTATTTGAATATATATCTCAAATTTCCTATTCCAGTAACACTATGAAGTTATTTCACTGTTTTATTCATCGCTCGTCTTAAATATAATCATTGCATCTCGGTGGTATCTTATATGAAGTTAAAACAAATATGCAGGGTAGGGCGAGGAGAACCGTCTCAAATGGGAGAGAGCTTGAAAAAGTGTACAACTTTCAGCAGTCAATAACAGTTCAACATTCAAAAATTTTCCATCACGTGAAGATTTTTATTTATAGTTATTTTCATTTTATACAAAAATTTTCATATATTATATGGAAATATAAGATCAAAACAAGAAAAAAACAATATATTTCGAGGATAACATACTTTATTTATAATTCACATGAAAAAACATTCAAATGAAGTCTTTTGGTGCATAACCTTTTTGCAAATGTTGACTTTCGTTTATATGTTTCATCGCGTTCCCTCATAAGGAACCAACAATAATCTCCCATAATTGCTGCATCCCATTTGCCTTACAAACGTTGCTCCATTGTCAGTATGTCTAGGTGGAACTTTTCTCCTTGTTCGTCACTGACAGCACCCAAATTTTCTTTGAAAAAATTCAAATGAGAGTGCAAGAAATAGATTTTGAGAGACATGCGATATCCTATTCCGCAGTAGTTTTCAAGTAGTTCTTCTACAAGTGTTTCGTAAGTTTCTACTTTCTTGTTCCTTAAAAACCCTGAAACGATTATTTTGAAAAAACTCTACGCAGCTAATTCAACATTACTTAATTTTCGATCAAACTGTTGATCACTTAGTAGTTTTCTAATTTGTGGTCCAACAAATATACCGTCCTTAAGCTTTGCATCACCTAATTTTGGAAAAACGTGTTTAAGATATTTGAACGCATCACCTTCTTTGTCTAAAGCTTTTACAAAATTTTTCATTNCGAAACTGCAGTAACGTTAGTTACAAATAAATGTGGTAAAAAACATAGAAATTTTCATTTCTCTTTTCACTAATATAATACTCTCAATACTCGCGTGTTTGCTCACCTCGCTTCTTTAATACAACTCACCACTACTCGCGTTGAACCAATATGGATGATCCGATTGTCAATCTGCTACTTTTATAGCGGCTCCGTATTTCTGGTATTTTCTGAAAACTTCTAGTATCGGAAGTTCGAGAAGCTGCGTTACAAGTCTCATATACAGCGGAAGCGGATTCGAATACTGGGCAGAGCCGCTGTGTTGCCAGATTTTAGGGAAAAAGCAAATTTGGAATGACGTGTTCATTAAATTTTTGTGTTAGGTAATTTTCACTATCATTTTCGCATTTAGGAACTAAAGAGTAACAAGAAACTGCCTTTGGCATTACAGTCGTAAATTGTCTGTAAACTAGTGATATTAATGTAGAAGTTAGTGACAATGTAATATACAAGACCTCACATGTTCACGTAGTCCAATCTAATTTCGTAATTATAACCTAGAATTATTGTTGTAACGTCTAGACATTGAATAAATTTTCTCATCAGCTTCAAAAAATACTTTCTGCGATTTTGTAGTGTAAGATCAAACTAATCATACTTACAAAGTTACTCTTATCTATAACAAAGATACCTCTTTTAGGTACCTGCGTCTCAAGTGTAGTGAGTTTTGATATGTATAATAGTTGCCTATCGTTTTGAGATGTTGAAACATTAAAAAAAATCAACAGTGCGCTGATCAATAACCCTCTTCATGATTTTCGATATTACTGATGGTGAAGCAACTGGTAAGACCTATGACACACCCCCGAGTCTGATTTCATCTAGTTGCTGATTCGAAGTAAAAGCTACAAAGACAACAGAAAGCGAATGATCATTTCAAGTCGATGCCAAAGTTATTGGTTTTTGAAAAGATCTCCTTTGGGATCCCTGATCATCTTTGGTGTCGTGGCCGATGACGTTTTCTCAAAGAGCAGAAAGGATTTGTTACCAGTATCGTTAACGTTACTCAAAATAATTTGAATTTTCGAGAATATTAAGATACAAATGAATATTTTTTTTCAGGAAAAGTTGGTTAGGGGATATGGATACACCTTCGAAAAACACCCGGTCAGTACGGAAGATGGTTTCAACCTTGAATTGCATCGCATATCTAAACAGAATAAAGTGCAAAACGAAGCGGACGCGGAAGAAAGTAAACCTGTTGTTCTAATCATGCATGACATCTTAGGAACATCGGCGGACTTTCTTATATCTGGTCCTGCAAATTCTTTGGCTTTCCAACTTGTCGATCAAGGATATGACGTGTGGCTGGGTAATAACAGAGGAAACACTTGGTCCAGAAGTCACGACAACTTGAAAACTACTGACAAGAAATTCTGGGATTTCAGGTATATTCTTGATATACATTGTGAACGTTAATATATCTTCCACTCGATTGATAATGAAGGAATTAAGGTAATTCATTTCATGCAGTCTTTTCTCATATATAGACCGAGGAAAAATCTATACGGTGCATTTGCTTTCGAAAAACTATATTTTTATTTTTTTCCACCTTTCCTTGTGAGTTCTGTATTTGTATTTGTAGATTAGGGAGGGCGAGTGTGGACCCACATCCTCCCAAGGAGTTGTCCTCCTAGGTCATCGTCCATTCTATGCTTTTCAGAAAGTTGGACAGGTCACTAGGAGACATCTCCTTTATATCGGCAGGTGAAGTCCGAGACTCGCCGAACACACACTCTCTTTGGCAACCTTGAGGTGTATCACAGCGGCCTTCGCGGATATTTTGAAAGGTGCAGCAACATTATTGTCATTGCGCGGCTTATTCTACCTTCTTGGAATTCCATCCGTGAAGGTGCTCAAGTAAAGGCGCTTTCTAGCAGAAGTAGTCGGTTCCTTGCCTTAATTCAAGGCGGAGCTCTTGGCGACCGCCGCAGGAAGGGCCCTTGCTGTTGGAGGTGAAGTGGAGGAGGAGAAGGGTGCACTTATAGTTGCTGCCACTTCTGCCTCTATTGCTGTCTTTCTCCTTTTGGCCTCGGCGCCGCAAATGCGCTTACACTTTGGCCTTTGTATTATGTCACGAGGTGATCTGTCATGTCCAGCCTTATTCCAAGTGGTAAATTGGGGTGGACATTTCTGTTCATTCCCAGCCACCGTCATAGATTGAGGTGAGGATTTCTGTCCAGCCTCGGGAATTGTTTTTATTTTTCTGTATCTTTTTTTGTGTTTGTTTCATTCATGTGTGTTTACACGAGTAACAGGAAAAGAGTTGGCCACTCTCGCAGAGCCCCGCATTACCAGAGGAAGGATAATTACAATGAAGTTTCGTCCGGTTCCCCAAAGAAATCATCCGTATCCGCATATTACCCTGCGGCCATTCAGCTGTCGGCACGGTTCCTTACTCCTTGGTTCGGCTAGTCCACGGTGGCATGTTTCGCAAAGGCTTTTGGGGAGTTTTGGTTCCTCTCACCCCACTTATTTCTGCCACTAACCAGGAGTCCGGCGACGTCGTCCGTAAGGCCACATTGGCTACCCGGACAGGGCTCCCAGTCTCCTGGCCGTTCCTCTATCCGCCACCTGGGGACGCGCCCGATAGGTAGTTCAACCCACGGGTTCCTTGTGAGTTTACCAGTGATCTGTATGGATGAGAAGAGGGCTAGAAATCCAAAAATACCACACCCATTCAATAATAATTCATTCAATGAACTACTTTTTTCAGTTACCACGAGCTTGGTGTTTATGATGCTCCGGCAATGATCGACTACATTCTTGAACAAACAAAACAGTCCTACCTATCCTATGTTGGATTTTCCCAAGGCGCTACTCAACTATTTGTAATGCTATCCGAGAAACCGGAATATAATGAGAAAATCAAGATTATGACAGCCTTGGCTCCGATGGTCTATATGAAGAATGTTAATCATATTGTTCTTAAACTAATTGCACACTTGGATGGTTTAGTGGAGGTGAGTGATGAAGTTTTGGTGTGCTTCTAAAATCCGAATTATTGGATTTTATTTTATTCGGCCGAAAAAAGAATGCAAATTGTCCATTACTGGTTGAACACCAGTTCACTGAGTCTCAACGTTGATGGAATGATATTTATAGCTTCAACTTTCATTGGAAAAGATCAGCCAGGAAGAAACAAATTTTCATACACTACAATACTTTCACAGACCCAAACAATGGCTTATGCCCTCACATAAAGAAATATTATTCGCAATACTTAGGAAGAATGCTGGGCCAGTACCTACGCTGGGATTGGCACATCCATAGTGAATAGACTTCGCAAATTAATGAACAATTTTTTTCCACCCAGATGCATACTTATTGAAAATATGCTATCAAAGATTTGCATTAGTGGAATTAGTTATTCATAATTGCATAATTATATGGGGTGGTCTGAACAAAACGCCCTCCAGACATTTTTTGTGACTTTTGTGGAGGAAAATCAGTTTTTCGTTGACCTTTTTTTGGGTATTATCACCTTCTACAATCTGAAAAATATGAAAATCATCTGTTCAAAAAATCTGTTTAAAATCTGTTTTTCCGTCAATCAGCTGTCGCCCCCATACGAACGACAACTCTCAGAAGTTGACAAACTTGTGCGAGCTAAGGACTAACGAGGTCTTACCTTTGAACGTGTGATTCCTAATGGAGAACTTTATACAAGTGTAGAAAGCGCAAACATTTTAGTTTACCCCGAAAAATTACTGCCAAAAATCAAATTATTTTTCACAATGAAAACTGTTCTATTTATCAGTAACTTGTCGTAGTCAACAATTTTGCCTATCAAAAAAATTGCTAAGAAATAATACTTATCTTAACATTTCGGAGGGCAAAATTTGCCTTCGTCTTCATAAATGGACAAAAAATTCAAAGATATTTGCAGTTATCCCTTTCTTGATTATTCATTTCTCTCGAAGAAGTTGAGAAGAATACTTTGATTTTACGCAGTAACTTATCGGGTTAAACTAAAAAGTTTTACGTTTCTACACTTGTATAAAGTTTTCCATTATAATTATCATATTTCTCAGATTGTGTGAGGTGATATTACCCAAAAAAAGGTCGATGAAAAACAACAACGACAATTGCATAAATTTTCATGACAATTTGACACATATTCTAAAATGCATTATAAAAGTATCCAGTGACTCAGTATTTTGCAAATAGTGGCACCACATAAGATGTAGATATTTGTCATCGGGGACTTCAATTTAGAACTATTTGAAATAAACAATCTTACGATGCATTATCTTCATGTAATTATAAATTGTAGCCCATATTGTATTCTGATTTATAAGCAGTACCTATTTATGTAAAGTTTCATTTAAATCGTTTAGTCGTTTAGGCGTGAAAGAGCCACAAACATACATACATACATACATCCATCCTCACAAACTTCACTTTTGTATTAGTATAGATGAGGGTTAAAATTGTGAATCATTTCAGTTTATTGTATTCGTTTGAGATTGTCCGTATACAACGTAACTGCAGTAACGTTAGTTACAAAAAATATAAGTGATATAAAACTTGTTTTATTTCTCATTTTTCATGATGATCTACTATCACCTAGTAATGGCTACATCCATCAATTTATCAAATGATATTGTTTTATTTTCAGTGGACTGAAAAAACTCTGAACATCCATGAGTTTCTTTCCCATGATTCAATAATTTCCACGGCCGGAAATATTTTATGCGGGAATCATTCAATAGTTCAAGGAATGTGTTCTTTTGTAATGTCTTTTTTTTTGGGATTTGATTCAGAAAGCACAAAGAAGGTGAGTACTGCATAATATCACTATTCAATGTGTCTAAGATTTAGGGCCAACATGGGAAAATCGACAACTGTGAGAGATACACATAGTTCATTCAATTGACTTTGTTGAATTCATAATTGAACGATTATGATGATACATCATTGAAGTTGTCATCGAAAAGGTTGAATAATACCAAGTAACGGTTGAATTAAGCGATACCTTCTTTGACACGGAACATTGGATTGAAAATCTGTTAACGTCATCTGGTAGTGCTTGAAAACTGGTAACAAGGTTGTTTTCTTTTCCAGCACCTCCTTGAAAAACCTCAAAAAAATCAACCGAAATTGCGAGTTTGTTTTTTTTTAAACTATCGAACTGAACATAATTTATGAAATTTTGAAACCGCATTTCAACAAGCTATAATAGGGGTCGGCATGTAGTTTTAGGTGAGGTCCGGATACTGTGGGAAAATTTTAATGACGTCCAGAAAAAAATTAACTGATAACAATGAGGTGCTACCTAAGTATTATTTTGGTTTCAAATCAATTTCTGAATTATACAACATAAGATCTGAAATTATTGTGAGAAACTACACCGACGGTCTTGAGCCAGTTTGGTTCTCCAGAGGAACAACAAATTCGAAGTGGGTCTTCTATTGGGCGTCCGTTTATCTCGAACGTTATTTTTTTTTCAAAAAATGTATCACATACGTATGTCGAACCAAACATAGTGTCCAAATTTATAGCTTGTTTCCTGTAATTTTCATATTTTTCCAACACATGTTTGCTCCAAAATTCTCATTAGGATACTGTTTCGTACATTTGCAAAGACACATCTTCTTGAAAATCGATTTTCTCTATTTGAAGTGATGGTTTTGACATATTGATCAACTTGCCAGCCACATCTGTTCAGTGTGCCGCTACATCGTTACTAAGATCGGCCAGATTCTCAATAACTGAACAATGTTTTATTGAAGAGTTCTTTTTATATTCAAGAATTGTCGGAAAATGAATGAATTTTTGTTTTGCAATATCGTTTTCGAAAATATCCAGCTTTCGACGAAAAGCAGGCATTCTTTGTATCAGATCACATTTAATTTAGGAAAGCCACAACCAGAATATTGCGCTTGTTTATTATGAACTCAAAGTGCTTTCCGCGTATCTAAGTTTTGCAAGAAGGATGTTACTTGTTCTTTAATTAGCCAGGCTAGATGGGAAACTAATCAAACCATCAACCATCAGTTGTAGGTACTTGTAAAACTCAAAATAAAATAAGTACTAAGTTAAATTCTAAGTGGCTTAAAAATATTTCATTCATTTAATTAAGATATTGTATGCTTTATCTACGTAATAATTTATACTTGGTATACTTGGCGGTTCGAGGTTCGACCTTTCGCGTTCTGCAAACGGAGCACGGTCCGCGTGTTGCTGACCGTTGAGCTATAACATGGAGAAAAATCTGCTCCATTCAAACCGACTATGTGTCTCTTACCCATGCTGGCTCTTTTCATCTTGGACACAGAGTATTCGATCAATGGGTGTATTTTTTACGTTGCTAATGGATACATTTTTAACAATTCATATTATAGGAAATGTTATCACATTTGCTGGAGGTCTACCCAGGAGGTTCGTCTTTGAAAGAATTCAGGCATTATGCTCAAGGCATCTCAACAGGTAAAACTGATTTCCTCTCATATGCAGCTATCGGACTGAAGCATGGCCAGTGGGAGAAATCGTATCTGCGTAAAGTTTGGGTCGGCGAATGACAAAGAAAGTATTAAGATAAAAAAAACAGAACTTTTTGTTTACGGCTCGAATAATCTAACAGACTGATAACAGATTTCTGCACATCCACTGCACATCTTGAGGGAGGGGCTTCTCAGCGGCCGTGGCTCAGTCTGGCAGCTGTACATATTTCGAAATATATACTTTTCAGACAAGCATATTTGTTCAGATGAAATTCTTGTCACTGTAATATATCGACCATTAATAATGCTTCGCAATTCAATAAAAAAAGAACATATTCACCACTGAAGTGGAATCTTGGCATGTATAGTTTTGTTTCTACGCGTCTGAGAAAACGTTGGAATATAAAAAAAATATTCTATTCACTCCATAGGTAAATTCCGCCAATACAATTATGGAATTATGACTAACTTTGAGAAATATAAAAATGGAACACCTCCAGAATATGACCTTAAGCGAATTAAAACTCCGGTTGCCCTTTTCTATGGTCAGAATGATTGGCTAGTGAATGTTAAAGTGAGTATATTTTCGTTTGTGTTAGTGAAAATCTATCACGTTATTATTAATAATATCAAAGGTAAAGTGGTAAGTTATGTGATTTTTCTCACGGTTGTTTTGAAGTTCAGTATCTGATAAGTACTTATGTCCCAATAATGCGATTTTTCAGATGTATTGATGATGCTGATAAATATTATAAACAACCAGAAAGACCACGTTTTGTAAGCAGAACCAAATTCACGAAAGTGATGCTTTTTTTGTTTTAGCAAACATTTTTTTCAATACCATGATCATTTCAGTTTCTTGTAATTGAAAATTTCTTTTCATTTCATAGTGAGCTCTTCATTTTCACCAAACCACAATGAGTCAATGCAAAGATATCATTTTTTCAAAAAACAGTTTTTATTTATTGAAGTAACGTTGATAACAAAGGTAACTCTCTCATCACCTCTTATTTTCATACAGGGTGCTTCTAATTATATTTTGATTTAGTTTTACAGTAACTGCCAGTAAAAAATTTTGACTTTTTCAGCGGCAGTTTCAGAGCTTCCATCACAACTGCAGGCTATAGATTTAGGTAGTGCATTTGACAATGCACTACCTAAATCTATAGGATTGTCTCTGGCTACAAAGGGTATAGAATCGACCATAACCGGCTGGATCTATGCCAGGCTAGTAAACAGAACTGCAACTACGTCTCTTTAAGGCGAGGCTATTAGGTTCTTGGTCACCAGGGGCTGCCTTCAAGATGGGGTACTATCTCCCCTTCTGTGGTCGCTCCTGGTGAATAGTCTGCTTGATGCCCTCGACAGAAAAAAAGTTGATCTGCAAGCTTATGCACATGACCTTGTCATCCTGGCGAGGTCCACGTCGGAAAGGGTAGCTTGTAATATCCTCCAAAGCGCGTTGGACGTGGTTCACAGTTTGTGCCTGACAGAGTAGATGTCTGTCAACCCCAGCAAAACTGTGATAATCCCCTTCTACAAGAGAAGGAAATTGGACGATCTAAGGCCACTTTCCCTCAATGGTGTGGTCATTCCATTTAGAACGGAGGTGAAATGTCTTGGCATTGTCCTTGATAAAAGACTCACCAGGAACGCTCACTTGGAAAAAGTTGTACACAAAGCCAGACTGTCTCTATGGACATGTCGAAGGATTTGTGGTAAAACTTGGGGTTCAGGTCCCAAACAAATCCATTGGATTCATGTGATGATTGTCAGACCAATGATCACGTATGGTGCAATTGCTTGGTGGCCGAAGGCTTTACAGAAAACGGCCCAAGCGAAGCTCTCTGGCTTACAGATACAGGCATGTCTGGCTATCAGTGGTGCCATCATTACCACACCGTCAGCGGCCATTGAGATATTTCTAGATCTACTTCCTCTCCACATTTTTCTGGAATAAGAGGCCAGATGGACTGTATACAGACTTTTGCACATTGCCAATTGCACAAATCAATTCAATGCAGAGTGCAACAGACTGTTGGTTGACAATGGAAGTCACAGCATTCTGAAAATTACCTCTGACTTCATGCCTTCAACTGTCAACTACGAACTGCCTTATAAAGTACTATTCCTGAGTGGAGAGGACTGGATCCTGCGGGAGAAGGAAATATTAAGAGCAGATAGTTGTTGGTTCACAGATGGATCAAAAACACCTTTCGGTTCTGGTGCAGGTGTTTTCAGTCGCAGATCCAAGTTCCTAGGCAGGAACTTATGCGACTGTATTTCAAGCGAAAATTTACGCTATTGAATTGTGTGCGGAGATATTGGATAAATCCAACCTCACTCACAAGTCAATAAAAATATTCTCGGACAGTCAAGCGGCGTTGGAAGCTCTTGACTCCCACCGAGCAACGTCTAAATTGGTAGCAAACTGCCAAAAAAGACTCTCCTCGATAGGAAGACTGAACAGATTGTCTCTGGTCTGGATTCCTGGCCATACGGGCCTGGAAGGCAATGGAGCTGCTGACTCTCTTGCAAAGGAGGGTGCTGCAAGCGGCTTCATTGGACCAGAACCTGTCACTGGCATCGCTTTGGGCTTTGTCAAACACTTTACACCTGGATGGCAAGAAGAGTTATGGACTTCTGGCAGAATCTTTCAGGATTGGCTCACTCCAAGGCGTTTATTTACCCTTCGAAGCTTGATTCCAAACAGTTGTTGGACTACAGTAGGGATGAACTACGATGTCTACCAGGCCTTCTTACAGGTCATTGTCATTTGAATCATCACATGCAGAGACTTGGACTGTCGGAAGATAGTGTGTGTCGCTTCTGTTTGGAAAATGATGAAACTGCAGAGCATATACTTTGTGCCTGCCCCGCTGGGGACCAAATCAGGTTCCTTGAGTTCGGCAGATCCGTACTCTCACAATCTGACCTGAAAGACCTCTCACCATACAAACATAGGATGTCCATATGTCAAGAAGTTCAAGACAACCATTTCGAGCATCTTCTGAATTGACCTCAAGCTTATTACCTCATATTATGTGATTAAATGTCAATGTAATCAGGCAATTATTAAAAATTTCGCCATTTTGTAGTAGTTAAAGACACCCCATTCCATTTGATTTTATTCCCAGGTGGCGCCCAGTCGCCATATTGAAAGTTTCATCTGTCAATTTCCATTGACACTTATGCAATTCAAATTGACTTGTGATGCACTGTTTGAAACCTTTGGTGTAGTAATGAATATTACTGAAGTTTTTTCCCGACACCAAACCGTTATTTTAACACCTTGACACGTGTTTCAAGAGGAAGATCAAACTGTTTGATCCTTCTCTTGAAGATGATCACTTGGTGATCAAAACACGTGATGAGTTGTTAAAATAACGGTTTGGCGTTAAAAAAACCTCCAGTAATATTAATTCAAATTGAATCGAAGTGCTGGCAAAACAGTCTGAAAAACCAATCACGCTATCAGCAAACATGGTGTTAATGAACGCACTGTTCGACGAGGTTTTGAAGACCCTGGTGGAGACTGACCCATCACAAAATGTGCGTGAGATGGCGGAAGAACTGGGCGCCAGCTTCCGTGCGGTTTTTGACAGTTTGGAACGTATTTGAAAAGTCAGGAAGCTCAAAAAGTGAATGTCGCACGATTTGAACGATCGGCAGAAATTGCCACTATTCGAGGTATGTTCTTTTTTGCTTTTGCGCAACCAAAACGATCCTTTTTTGGATCGAATCATCACGTGTGATGAAAAGTAAATTATCTAAGATAACAGAAGACACTTATGAAAGTGGTTGGACACCGATGAGTCAACCAGGTACTTTCCGAAGGTGAAAACCCACCAGAAAGATATCGTGATTACTGTATGGTGATCAGCGACTGCAACTGGGCCAAAACATTATTGGGGAGTCCTATTGTGTGGAAATTGGCAAAATTTACCTGAAATTGCAACAGCAGCAGTCAGCTCTGGTAAACAGAAGATGCTCGATCATGTTCCACGAAAACGACCGTCCTCCCGTTTGACAAGTCACCATCCAAAAATCGAACAAATTTAGCGTCGAAGTATTTTTTGCCTCTCACCATACTCTCCAGACCCCTAGTCAACCGACTTCCATCTTTTCAAACACTCTGATTACCTTCCCATACGTAAAAACAAATCAGAACAACGTGAAAACGGCCTTCGTCAACTTCATTGAATCCCGATCACCCCATTTTTGCTGATAGAATTATTGGACATATGTTACGTTGGCAAAAGTGCACTGACTCAAATGGCGTTTTATTGGATTAGGTTAGGTTAGGTTCATAGTGAGTGGGTCTATTCGACCCTCTACCGCAATTTGCAAGGGTCTATTGTGGCTGACACCTATTCATACTCGACCAGATAAACCCAGCTTCTCAATGAAGCTCATTAGTGTGTATGGTCTTTCAGGTCAGATGGTAAGAGTACGTCTCTACCGAACTCTAAAAACCTGATTCAGTTCCCAGCGGGGCAGGCACAAAATATATGCTCTGCTGTTTCATCGTTAATGAGGTAGTCGGATAGTCAAGGTGCAAGATTCCCACCTTGATACCCGCGAAAAACTTCCCATATGAGGGTTTCTGCACCTCAGCTACACCTGACGATGCCTTAGATTCAACCGTGCAGGGCTTTTCCGCCTCTGGTTTTGGTGAATCATTGCTTGAGCGCAAACGTTTGCTAACCTGCTCATGGGGGTTTTTTCCTCCACCTGAGACAGATTCTGCGTACGCTGCTCAAGAATTTGATGCAAGGCGGTTTCATAAGGTACCCCGCTCTTGAGGAGACGACTCAGTCGTTTCCTGGCTGCACCACCAAACCTTTCTTTTAGGTTCAGTTATTGGATCAGGAGTTGGAGAATTGGGAAGCTCTCGCTCCTGATCCAAATTTACAGGGAGGTCAGTTGAAGTCGTAAGCTCGACATCCATCTCCTCTGTAAGGGGTAATATAACCAGCAGGGTCCATCGCACAAAGACCTTTATTCGATTAGATTGAATCCGTATTCACTGAGATACCATAGTTCAAAGTGGAGTCATAAAAACAAAATAAACTTTGGGAAGGAAAGTTTTTGTCTTTCTACTACTCGATCTTGATACAGAAAAATGTGAGAATCTTTCAAAGAAATGAAGGAAGTAATAAATACGTGGATGTGTAGATCATGCAAAGAAGTAATTTTCAGGCACAAATCTGAAAGATTCCCACATTTTTCTGTATCAAGATGGAGTAGTAGAAAGTCAAAAACTTTCTTTCTCAAAAATTAGTCATATGAATAAAGTAAGGGACGTTCTTTGAAAAAGATCATACAACTTAAATATATTTTTATGTTTCCTGGATGAGACTGAGAACCACCAAAAATATTACAGCCAACATTGTTATCTCTCGTTTCCTCGAAATACTACTAATGAATTTTTCATTCATAGGATGAGGACAAACTCAAATCAGAACTAACAAATGTGGTGGACAATTACTTGATCAAGAATGAACATTTCAACCATGGGGATTTCATTTTTTCTGGAGATGCCAATTCACTAGTGAACTTTTACGTCATCAATACTTTGAATAAATATAACAACAAAACAGAAATGACTTCAACAATATCAACAACGGTAGCAACAACATCAAAACCGTCATCTGCCTCAACTGACAAAAAACCTACAACGATTTCCAGCACCTCCAAACCAACAACAACTGATCAGCCTTCGTCGTCATGCACAACATATTCATCTTCTTTTCTAGTATTCATTCATATTTTCTCAACAGGTTTCGTTGGTGTCATAATGAAATATTGAAAAATAGTCTCATTTCTATACACCGAATTTCCTATTATTTTCTATTCAATGAAAATGTTAATATAGAGTTGAATAAAAAAATATGAAAAAGTATGTGTAGAGATGAGTCGTATATAATATCTGAAAAAGAATTTATTTGTTATTATTTTTGATATTTATTTTGAAAATATTCGACAGTAAAACAGGTATACTGATAGATGGAGTACCAGTGAAAAAAAATTCAACGTATCTCAGCTGGCAGTTCATTGTCTAAATGTTTTGTTATTTATTGTCTGAATGTTATTATCCAGTCCAATTAGACCAAAAAAATAGGAGTGAAGGTACAAAAATTTGTACCCTGCTGAAAATTGCTGTGATTGTTCAAAACACTATCATGAATGTAATCTGAAAAATTCTCATTGATCCGATACCTGAAAAAAAATTTACTCGGAGTCAAAGGTCATAAAAACGGGTTCTTCGCGATTTTCAGCAAAACAGCTAGTTTCATCATGAAAGTGGTTCAGACAAAAATTGACACGAACCAAAATGATTTGTGATGCACTGTTTGGAATCTTTGGTGTAGTGATGAATATTATGGGAGTTTTTCCCAACGTTTGATGTTGGTGTCAACGTTATTTTAACACCTCGACAAGTGTCTCAATCACCAATTGATCATCTTCAAGAGGAAGATCAAACTGATTGTCTATGAAATTAGTCTGTGAAATCAGATTGTCTGAGAAGCTATCAAAATGATTGTCTATAAAAAATGTCTCGTTACCTTTTCCCCTGAGAGCCACCGTTACTGAGATATAACGATTCAGAAAGTAGGAAGAGTTGTTATCGTCATAATGTGGCGCATTTTTTACATATTATTCCGGTTGGCCTATTACATGGATCTGTTATGATTCTGTTCGACTTGAAACTGTTGAATAATGAAACATATTGGCAAGGGTAGAAAATGATAAAAGCGGTATTGCTTAAAAAATAAATTGGGAAATTTATTCCTCAGATTCATGATTTTCTGATACTTATGCTTGCTTCTACTTTATCCTGGGTGCAAATGAATTGTCTCAATATTGATACATCGCATATCTTTCCGTTTGTATTAAACGAATCCTCAACTGTTGGTTATTCAACATTAGAGCACGACCGGCCTGGACAATTTGTACATGCTAGAGAATAAAACACTCCAACTTGTTTGCAACCACATTTGGCACTACATCGTTTTTTATAGTTGCAAAACATTGTGTGTAGCAGTTTTTCCGGCGCAGGTGGGAGTAAAGTCTGGACTGGTTTGAATGTATTGTCAATCAACTTTCACCCCAGTCTTCTGGGTCTAGCAGACCCAATGTGAAAATATGTTTTATCAACTGAACAGGGATCATAATTACACTTCAAATGTGAAAACAATTCAAAAAGCAATGTCCAAACCCATCACTATCAACAGTTCGCAATTACTTTCAATATCTAACAGTGGTGTCGAGGCTAAAGATCAAGCCTATCACATCAACGACCTGCGTTCAATTCGCCAACAAAATCTTCTTTTATGACGACATGAAACAAAAGTTTGTTGAACAGAAAGATGGGCTGACGTAAGCGCGCCACGTGACTGGGTGGTCTGTCTCGTTGAGGGATACGCCTGATTCTGATTCTCTGTCTGCTTGAATTACTTATGTCCACAGAAAATTCAAATCTCCCGCCACGAGGTTCTAACATGCAGAAGCGTGCGGTCTGATTAGCTGTCGAGCTGGGTGACAGTTTGAGGACACTATGTGACAATTTGGTGCACTGTGGTTGTCTAGGTGGTCTATTTGTCCTGTCTTGCGGGGTGAGAAGCGACCTGACTTGTGTGATGACGTCACTGTCTGCCTGAACCGACGTAAAATGTTTTTTAAAAATTGTAGTTTCACTCCTTTTGAAAAATGCAGGTTACATATCACAGCCAGTTATTGCGTGTAAAAATAGTACATGGTTTTGACACTTTGCAAAAGTAGATAAATTGATAAATATATTTCCGATTGATGTTGAGGTTTTTCAAGCTTTGAAAAAAAAATATTTTTTTCATTTTGGAGTACGAGCAGTGAGTAATACTAGTAAGTTTACATCTTCACATCACACATAAATGATTGTAATAATTGTTTTTGTCAAATTGAATTGCTTCATTGATGCTTCATCATCAGCATCATTGCAAGCCTGTTTTATCAATATTTTTTCAGCAGCAAAACTGTTCTTTCAACATTGAAATGCACCGAGATTTGTTGTGAGTATTTGTAGGAAATTTCTGTTGACTGGTATGAACTATCATTGATTGATCAAATAAAATACGTGGAAACGTGATATGTGGATACGTGTACTTTATAGTAGAAGCGACAACGCCGCTCCGTCTGAAATATTTTAGGCGTGTAGGTCATATTGATTTATGCATACTGTGAAATTTTCAGGTTGATTCGTTAAATAGTTTGTCAGAAACGGCTAGTTAACGCTCATCATGGAAAGCCCTGTATAATATATTTCATTGGCATGATTATACAACAGTTTTTTTAATTTTGCTGTCCAGTTTTGCTAGTGTGACAGAAAATTTGATTCTATCCAAAACTGATCACACATCTTACCTTGACACAAAGTGACAACAAGTGAAAATTATTCACACATCTAAGTAACACTTCATTTCAGCATTTTCATTGAACAAAACCGCAACAGGTGAAAGTCTCATTTTAAAATGTTATTTGAATATACGTTGTGGATTTCCATCAAGTGTCTACCAAGATTGAAGGCGTGGACTCAACAAAGGTATATATCTTTCACCAAATACATACACACCAACCATATTCGTGCATATTTGTTAAACGTCTCAAATGAATTAGTATTTTCTCTAGAAGGTACTTCGGCTGACTTGTAATTCCGCCATTCGATTGGGATCACTCAACCGTTTGATCGAATACGGATAGTGACTTTGTCAATGTGAGGAGGAGAGACTGTGCCTACCAGTGGCGGTTGCGTCGTGGTCATAGTTGGAGTTTTTCTCTTTCAGGGATGAAGATAACGTTTGATTTATTGCGCCGTGAACCATTGGCATGTAGTGCTTATTCCATATGACGAAGCTCTTCTTTAAGAAGATGTGGTTCACGAATCATGGTGGCACGATCAACAAGTAATTTTCATCATGATATGTATCATATCATGTTTCTACCCTAGAAGTTCTTGTGATACCGTTTCGCATGGATAGTTTTGCGATGAACGGTGTAACCTAGTTTTCCGTCTAAATTTTTGTAGGCCAGAACATACAAAAATGGTGTCTTTCCTACGTTTCATTTTTCCATGGTACTGAGTGCTTTCTTCTCGGAAACTTCCATGTAGAAACTATAGGGCTGAGAAGACTTCCATAGCGACTTCATTTAGTTATTCCATTGAAAAAATATAATGGTGAGAATATGGTCAATGAAAATATTCAACTCATTCAAGGACCACTTCATTGTGAGATGTTCACTGGATAGTTTACAAAACGGTACCACGTGTTTCGCTGGACAGTGGTTTCATCAAGCATTTCCATATTCTATCATGGCGTTTGTATTGTGGTTTCGTGAACTATCCAGCTGTCATGTTCCTGAAAAAATATGCTCGCCTAGTCTCATCGACTTTCACCATGGTGAAGAGAGAAACAACATCAAAACTAACCAGAATATTATTCGGCTGCAGGATCAAAGTACTTTTTTTATGAAGTGATATAAGCCCCGATTCTCCTTTTCCAACATATGGCTGCAGTGAGTTCGATAAGTATTTCGCAAGAGGATGAGTAGGTGAACCAATGGCGTTGAAAATGGGACGAAGTGGAAGGTTTGGCTTGTGAATCTCAGGAAGACCGTTGAGTCTAGGTGGTAAGGTTTTAGATATTCGATGAGTTGGTAAATTTTTAAGTTTGATCCCCTTCCTATTTACAGATCGATCTGATATTTGGTAAAAACCCAAAGTTTTGAGGATAATACAATTTAAATAATTCTGAATCATTGTTAATCCAAGATAACGGCAGATAGAACATGGCGGATTACATATTTTTCACAACTACCTTAATATGGATATGAAATGACAGGACTTGACTAGTAGAATATTAGTACACTTCGAAAAAGATGCACATTCAACATGGTCGCAGCTACAAAATGGCGTATTACATATTACTTTGTAATACTGAGACACTAAATCAACTATACAGAATGAAATACATTGAGTAACAAAATCAAACACTGAAAATTCAAAAATGAAATAAGTAAAAAAATGTTTATGTTAAACGATTTTATTGAAAAAAAATAATGATGTAGAAAATCAAACCGTTAAACATAAAGATATCACTTATTTTATTTTCAGTGTCTTGGATGTAGGGCCCCTTTAAGTATCTTGTACGATACAGGGTCGAGAAGATAAAGATTTTTTCTATTGGTGATCCTTCATTCGCAGAGAATATAATAATATGCCTGTCAGCATTCAACTGTTTGGGAGCTGCAGTCTCTTTGGCACTAATGTTCGATTTCGGTGGTTTGGCGTACTGGGGAAAACGCGCAGATTTTCTTCTTTCTTGGCTTCCTCTTGTGGCAATACTCTGATGAATGATTAGATATTGGCCACTATATCTTCGACTGGAAAATTGAAAGAAAGCACAGCGAAACTACCACCTTTAGTAAAAACGAAAAATTTATTTTGAGCCTATGTTATTATAAACTTTTGATATCTTAACACAAGAGTAGTAGATCTGCGGGTTCTCACAGATGACTTTGTCGTCCTGGTGAGGAACAAGTCATTAAGTTAGCATTCCTCTTAAAAGCACTGGATTATGTTCGTAACTGGTGCCAAAGGAAGCAGATGTTAGTGAACCCCAGCAAAAATATGATACACCAGGAAAAGGAGTCTGGGTGTTCCACCAATAATAATGATGATGGTGATGATATTTTTAGGTCTTTATTTCTGTTGAAGATACACATATAATTAATTCAAAACGAATAACTGACATAATTCAGTCGATGCTGTTCTACCATGTGACCAACCACAGTCAAGTAAATTACAGAGAAATCAATACATAACGAAGTCATTAGACTTAGTTTCAAGAAAAATTGACATAAAAAAATTAATAACGAGTGAAAAGAATGAGCGGATATGAATTTGTATTGCTCAATTACCTACCATTTGCAAGTATCAGAGCTCCAATTTGTTCATGGAAAGCAATAATGCAAGCTTTTCCGAGACGAAACGAGATATTATCACACATTTCAATGGCATTGTTACTGGAAGTACGATGAGTAATGCTAGTTGACAAAAACTCATTGACAACGGGATCATATTGTCTTCGGCTATGAATACAATCCAATGAACTAGATGAGACAGAAGCAAAGTGTCACACAATAAAAAGTCATTTGTCAAGTGGGCCCTAATGCATGGAGAGCAACTTCAGCTTTGGATTAGACTCTCTGATTCAGTTGCCTCCTCGAAAAAAGAATATCCTATGAATTTGCTGCGCTTCAATTTCATGGGCAGTAAAAGCAGACCCTGCGACAGAATAAGAAATAAACTACTCCTGCACAGGTTTGCAAACTATTTAAGTCAAACGATGATTTCCAAAAACCAGATGCGGAAAATCCCTGCATGACTGCATCCAATGTATCGTCAGTTATATTTAACTCGAAGACAACTTCTTTATCGGGCTGATGGCTGATGTCAAGAGACAGCATTTTTGTTCTGGTTAGGGAAAATATTTTTCATAGATTCATTTTACGGCTGAGGTTCCAAATTCTACTGATCAAACTTTAATGTCGAACAACTAGAATTCCATCAGTATACTGTTATAACTGCCAGAAGATTGTTCACAGGTTCACTTTCAGAGCTGCACATCTCGACCTAGATAAATGCACTTCATTTAAAAGGACCAGGAGAGCGAAGCCTGACAGTGTATGTAATTACCTGGGCTGACGAATCTGGGGCCTAACACATATATGGCGCTAATCTGATTGGAGAGCAACTGGTGAACCTTGTCCAAAGTGCCGAAAGCATAACTATCGGCCTTAAAGATTATGACCCTGGTGTTTTGGGATGTGTGTGGTGAGAATGGAAATACCATAAACAGCGAATATTTTATAACGTTACTGGAGCGGTTGAAGGCTGGAATTGTGAAGAAGCGACTGCATAAGGCAGAGAAAAAAATGTTCTTCAGTCGAGATAACGAATCGTGTCATAACTCAATCAAAACAAAGGTCACACTACATGAATCGAACTTTCAATTGCTTTCACATCCACCGTATCCACCAGATTTGGCTCCACGTAACTAATGACTAATCGCAGACTTAAAAAAAATGCCCACCGATGAAAAATTTCGCTCGAATGAAGGGGTTATTGCTGAAACTGAGGCTTATTTTAAGGCAAAAGGTGAATCGTTTTACAAAAGTGGTATTGAAATGTTAGAGAGGTGCTGGAATGATTGTATGGCTCTTGATGGAGATCAAGATAAAGTCAGTTTTGAACAAAAAAATTAGTTTTTTAAGCACGGGACTTTTTACTTCATGGTGTTGTTCATATACAATTTAAAAATTGAAGAAAATACTGTTGTCGGCTATGAGTGGAAGTGAGTGGGTCTATTCGATCCTCCACCGCAACCCGCAAGGGTTTATTGTGACTCAAATGTATTCACACTAGACCAAATAAACCCCTCTCCTCAACGAAGCAGATTAGTTTGTATGGTGAGAGGTCTTTCAGGTCAGATTTGTGAGAGTACGGCTCTGCCGATCTCTAAAAACCTGATTCGGTCCCCAGCGGGAAAGTCACAGAGTATGTGCTCTGCTGTTTCATCATTTTCCAAACAGAGGCGACACCCACTGTGTTCCGACAGTTCGAGTCTTTGCATATGATGATTTAAATGACAGTGACCTGTGAGAAGACCTGTTAGACATCGTAGTTCATCCCCACTGTAGTCCAACAACTGTTTGATTTCAAGCTTCGAAGGGTGAATGAACGCCTTGGAGCGAGCCAATCCTGAAGGATTCTGCCAGAAGTCCATAATCCTTCTTGCCATCCAGGTGTTCAATCTTTGTTTGGCAGAGCCTAAAGCGATGTCAATGACAAATTCTAGTCCGATGAAGCTGCTTGCAGCACCCTCCAGGAATCCAGATCAGAGACAATCTGTTTTTCTATTGAGAAGAGTCGCTTTTGGCAAATTGCTACCAATTTAGACGTTGCTCGCAAGGAACAAAGAGTTTCCAAAGCCGCTTGACTGTCTGGTCTATTCGATCCTTCACCGCAACCCGCAAGGGTTTATTGTGACTCAAATGTATTCACACTAGACCAAATAAACCCCTCTCCTCAACGAAGCAGATTAGTTTGTATGATGAGAGGTCTTTCAGGTCAGATTTTTAAGAGTACCGCTCTGCAGATCTCTAAAAACCTGATTCGGTCCCCAGCGGGAAAGGCACAGAATATGTGCTCTGCTGTTTCATCATTTTCCAAACAGAGGCGACACCCACTGTGTTCCGACAGTTCGAGTCTTTGCATATGATGATTCAAATGACAGTGACCTGTAAGAAGACCTGTTAGACATCGTAGTTCACCCCACTGTAGTCCAACAACTGTTTGATTTCAAGCTTAGAAGGGTGAATGAACGCCTTGGAGTGAGCCAATCCTAAAGGATTCTGACAGAAGTCCATAATCCTTCTTGCCATCCAGGTGTTCAATCTTTGTTTGGCAGAGCCTAAAGCGATGAAGCTGCTTGCTGCACCCTCCAGGAATCCAGATCAGAGACGATCTGTCTTTCTATCGAGAAGAGTCGCTTTTGGCAAATTGCTACCAATTTAGACGTTGCTCGGTAGGAACAAAGAGTTTCCAAAGCCGCTTGACTGTCAGAGAATATTTTCACTGGCCTCCGCACACAATTCAATAGCGTAAATTTTCGCTTGAAATACAGTGGCATAGGTTCGTAGGCAGGTTGATATATCTGTCCTGAGTCTGCGACTGAAAATACCTGCACCAGAACCGGAAGGTATTTTTGATCCATCTGTGAACCAACAATATCTGCTCTTGATATTTCTTTCTCCTGGAGGATCCAGTCCTCTCTACTCGGGAACAGTACTTTAAGGCAGATCGTAGTTGACAGTTGGATGCATAAAGTTAGAGGTCATTTCCAGAATACTATGACCTCCAGTGTCAACCAACAGTTTGTTGCATTATGAATTGATTTGACAGTGTGCATAAGTCTATATGCATTCCATCTAGCCTCTCTCTCCAGAAAAATGTGGAGAGGTGGTAGATCTAGAAGAATCTACATGGCCGCTGACGGTGTGGTACCGATGGCACCACTGATGGCCAGAATAGCCTATCTCTGTAAGCCAGAGAGCTTCGCCTAGGTCGTTTTCTGTGAAGCCTTCGGCCACCAGGCAATTAAACCATAGGGACAATCTGGCTTTTTGTGAAACTTCTTTCAAGTGGAATGACCTCACCATTGAGGGAAAATGACGTTAGATCGTCCAATTTTCTCCTCCTGGTAAAGGGGATTATTACAGTTTTGCTGGGGTTGAGAGACATATGATCCCTCAAGCAATAACTGTGAACAACGTCCATCGTGCTTCGAAGAATATCACAAGGTACCCTTTTCGACATGGACCTTGCCAAAATGACAAGGTCGTCTGCATAAGCTTGCAGATCTATTTTTTTCTGTCGAGGTTAGTAGGACACATACTCTGTGCCAGCTCCGCTGAAAACATGATCAATGTTTCACGGAATCCAATTCTTGTCAGCAGACCAGAGAGATCACTGACCAAATAAGTACACGAATACGTGAAGATGGTTAAATAATTCATTATGGTTGAGAAGCCTCCATACGTGACCCTTGCGTAATCCACATTCAATACTGATCTCAATGGGGAATTATTATTTGAAATTTCAGGACGGTTATTCCATTGTCGATATGGAGATAATGTTATTTGCTTTATATATTATTGTTTCACAATAAATAATTTTTCTATATAACCCAATGTGATGCAGAATGTACACAGAGATGTACAATAATGAATTCAAAGTGTCCCAATTCATGAAAAGTCTACGATGAGTATTCTTCAATAATATGCTATGGATAAAATTTCTTCAGGAACAGCAACGAACAAAATCAGATAAGGTTGAAAATTTATTTCAAACACCTACACAATAAAACTGATATAATCCGCACGCAAGTGATTTGAAATCAGTATCGCTATGACATTCAGAGCAATGAAGAGAAAAAATATTATTTGGTTTGTAATTTGTGTGGATATATTTTATTTCTGGAGTTCAACACAAGCAACGCTGATAAATCTAGAGGATTCTATGAATGAAGAAACAGAGTTGCCAGGATCAAGAGCAAACCTGATAGATGCGTCTAAGTTTGACATTGTGAGTTTTGTACTTGAATAGATCTGTATTCGAGTCCTAATGTTCATAATAGCTATAGTGAATTGTGAGAAAATTACGTAACATACCCGATAATTTATGAAGAGATGACTTATGGAGAATACAAAAATTTGACAATCAATGGGTGAGAAACACAACTCAGCAATACAGGTAGAATAACAGCGGCATCATGCATCATGCAAAAGAACCGCTGTTTCAGGAGGGCTCATTTTCCAGTTTGTGTCTGAAAGTTACTTTGCATGATCTACACATCTATGTATAGAGTTACTTCTTTTAAAATTTATTGCTCTCTTCCTTTCTTTGCAAGATCCCCTCATTTTTTTTCATCAAGATGTAGTAGTGGAAATCCAAAAACTATCTTTCGCAAAAATTTGTAATTCCTTAAAATATAACCATTTCAGTTTAAACGAGATCTCTTTTGGCTGGGAATGATACATGAATGAATGTCATTAAGATATCATCGATAACATAAGTAGATCGAACTTATTCCGTGACATAAAAATCGTAATTTATGAAAGTATTGTGTGTTTTTTTTATAATATTATCCAGATTGATACTGATGAGCCCTGAGACAAGTGTCTTACGGCGAAACATCGATGTCTACCAGAGAGGATGACAGTGTTCCATGTAAGTGAAATTTTTACCTTTCGAAAAAGGTTAATGCTGTCCAAGCTGCTGGAAAATAATTTCATGAAAATTACAAGATGAGTATTCCCATATTGATTTCAATTTGAGAGCCACCGGTAGACATCTGTTTCAGCCTATTGGGCATCGTCAGTACCGGGCCGCTTGACTACATTAACCTTTCTCGATTTTATTTCAGTTCTAGAAACATGTGGATTCGTTTTTCGAATGCATTCCAGGATAGCTCCACAAATTTCTACTACCGCAGTTGTCGATTGATTGGTCAAACTACCAACACTGGCATAAAAACTTGGCAAGTTTCTGATTATTTTGTCTTCAATCTAGGATCGCCTGCCCAGTACTGACGACACCCAACAGCTGTCTATTGGTGGCTCTTACAATGAAATCAGTGTCGAATTTGTGAAATGACACTTACAGCAAAACAGACCATACCAATGTTTCAAATAGAAGGAAACTACTACAATATACCTCAAAATTTGAAAGAAGCTCTGAGACGACATCAAGTGAAGAATATGAGTTGCTTTTTAACTGCTTTGCAAGACCATTTCTTGAGGGCAACACTTTGCAAACTGTGCCGGTTCCGTTCTTTCCATATTGGTTGTGTATATCAATTTTGTCTGAACTTGTGTGAAGTTCACACCTACAACTTATTTATCGTCACCGCAATCATCATTAATTCTGAGTTTCAGTGAAATTCATTCCATCTATTATAATCACCTGATTGTATATCAAAAATCACCTGATTGTATATCAAAAAAAAAACTCTTTCTCACTCGGATGAAAAAAAGGAATGAATACTTCTTCATCATCAATGGAAGTCTAATGGAAATTATTTTCATTCAAGTGATACCTTATTGTGGGGTTTTCATTGAACAGTTCACAAAACCGCAATACTTACCGCAATAATTGTTTCACTATACAACAGCTTCCTCAAGCCTATTTATACTGACTGAATTGAACATAATTAGTGCTCTACATAATAATTTGAATCATATGACCTTCTACCCAATAATAACTTCACGTGAGTTTGGTTATAAACTAATAAAAACATCATGAAAAGAAATTGTTTCAACTCATTAAATGGATGTGTAGTAAACCAATTACAAATTTTCATATTGGAATACAGATTCAACAGGGAGAAAGGGTTGAATCCTATTTTGTATTTCAGTGAATTTTGAGAATTCTGAAATCCTTTAAATTATTTTCCAAGCATTTCAAGAGATTGAGTCTCAAACCTTTCTCTCTCAACTGTAATATGTAATATGTCGTGCCAGAACTCATGCTCATCGGTCAAAAGATGGTTTACAAATGTGGAATTGGTTTTCATGTTGAAGAAAGTACTCCTATATTCTTTGACTGTTCTGGAGAAGGTTCTCTCCTTTGGCCAATATAAACTTTTGGACGAAAATCACAAGTCATCTTATGACCTAGCAGATATTAAAGTTTTCTCTTTCATAGGAAAAATTCGTGAATGGCCTTGGGTATCACTTCGAAAAACATACAATAACCACAGAGGATGGATACAACCTAGAAATGCATCGTATTCCTCGTGGAAAAAATGTTTCGAGTTCAGCACCAGCAAATTCACCCCCCGTTCTAATGATGCATGGCATTTTGGGTACTTCTGCGGACTTCTTGATATCTGGTCCTGAAAATTCCTTAGCTTTGCAACTGGCTGACCAGGGGTATGATGTATGGCTGGGCAATAACAGAGGAAATACCTATTCAAGAAGCCATTATACAATGAGTCCCTCCAACAAATCATTCTGGAATTTCAGGTGAGTGAACACTTGAAGTTTCGAATTCTCAATGATAACCATGAAGTATTTATTCTTGATAAAAATTGTTTTGATAAATCAATAATATCAGTTCGATTATTTTCTCAGGATAGTGTTTACTCTTAGTGCAGTAATGTAGGATAATAATGAAAATCCATTAATGCACTTGAAGTAATCAGTTTTAGATTGATAAATTTTCATCAGTTACAAGTTTCCAGAGAAAATCTATGACAAAATATTCAAAATTGAGATTATTTGTAGAATATATTTCTGTTCAAATAATTCACAATTTGAAATAACTACTTTCTTGATGAATTCAAGATTTTTGCAAGTATGAATGTTTGATACAGTGGCCTAAAATGATCATGATCAAAGATTAATACTAGTGTTGGATATTCCATCATATACAGTGTGTTTCACTTTCAACTTTCATTAGAGTTTGATGCGAAAAGTAGATTTCTGAGTATTTTTTCTACAAAAAAATGTCTGGCTTCTACTTCTTCATCATCACCAAAAAGTGTGGGCAAATTGAAGAAAAGATAAATTCAAATAACTTAATGAATACGTTCTTCAAATTTGTGTATATTTTGCACAGAAGTTTTTTTTTATTACAAAATTGAAAAAAGTCCTTTCGTCCTTATAAATTTAAACAAAAATTTGGAATGAAAACAGATATCATTCACAGAAACGCTGATATTTGATGAGCATTATGACGAAATTATACTGATATCGAACACTGTATTGTATCTAGATGTTAATGAAGGAAGCACATTTCCAATCATATATCATATACAGAAAAGATCTTTCCCAGACAAAAAAGTTCCTGGGACCCGATTAATTTCAACCCGACTCCGGTGCATATACGACTTCTTCTGGCAGAAAGATTGTTAAACAGTAACAACTCCATCTCGTGAACAAAGCTCCAAGCGAGAAAGAAACATCCCGTTTACCAAAACTCTGACAGAAATCGAAAATGAAAACTATCGGGGAGAGATACATAGTATAAGAAAATAATGAAAAGTGATTGATATTTAGAAACTCATTTCGAAATATTCATTTTCGAAAAGAGAATTATATTTTGAAATTAATTTCGTTAATTTCACTAGTTTACAGCCAATTCACGTATGTGAATTTCCGGAACTTCAACTAGCGTTTCCTAATGTGACTAAGCTTAGGTATTGTTGATTCATCTGAAAATGAAACTTTTAATGAGCGAAACTAACTGACTGTTATAAGAAAGCAAGTATAGCTGAGGCACCAGACAATCTAATGATAACACTGATGATCTTCAAAAATGACTCAACCTCGGTCGGAAGCACCAAAATGTTACGAAGGTTCGAAGTAGATGAACACTTCAATCTAGCAGACCACTATTATTCTTCATGCAGTCATTATTCACTGTGGTTCTGGTGTTGAAACTGGTCATTATTACGCCTTGGTCAAAGACAAAACGGGCTGGTTTAGGTTTGACAATAGTCGTGTCATTACGTGTTTTGGCCAAGTATTGAATTTATTGGAGCCTCTTCAGCACCCTTCATTTTGTTTTGAGAGAGGACATTGGCAGATTAATGTCTTCAGATGATGTGGTGCTGCAGGTTTTTCCGGAATTTACTGCAGCTGAAAAAGCAAATGCGCCACTGGAATCAATGAAGTCGCCTCGGAGCGCCATTAATTTTTGTAGTTGTTTTATGATTTTACGATTTGTATTTCGGAAGTATTCACAACTGTAATGCCAAAGGCAGTTCCTTGTTAATTTTCAGTTCCTAATTGTGAAAATGATAGTGAAAATTCCCTAACACGTTAGATTTTTTTACAAAAATTTATTGAACACGACATTCCAAATTTGCTTTTCTCCTAAATTGTGGAAATTGTTTAAAATCTGGCAACACTTGTAACGCCGCTTTTCGAACTTCACATACTCGAAGTTTCCAGAAAATACCAGAAATACGGAACCGCTATAAAAGTAGCAGGTTAACAATCGGATCATCAATATTGTTTTAACGCGAGTAGTGGTGAGTTAGTATTAGTGAAGGGAGGTGAGCAAACACGCGAATATTATGAGTATTATATTAGTGTCATCTTTGTGAATGAAATGAGTTGACTCCTGTAAACGCAGTATGACATGTTTGAACTCGACGTACGCATTAGTACAAAAATGTCTTAAGTACAGAAACGTGGCTGCGTTAATCCCGCAGATAGTTTTTCCTATATATGTGGTCAGCATAAACTGCTTGAGGAAGCTATTGTATAGCGAAACACGTGTCGTGGTTTTTGTAAAACCTTTTATAGTGAAAATCATACAATAATCTTTATTACTTAGTTTTTATGAGTATTTTGGATGTGTTTTTGGTGATCCAGATCGGGATTTGCCTCCTCACGTATGTTGTCAAACCTGTGCAGCAAATCTAAGTAACTGGTTGAATGGCAAACGCTCTTCTATGCATTTTGTAGTTCGAATGATTTGTCGAGAAACAACGAATATTACAACGACTGTTACTTTTGCATGACAAAAGTGTCTGGTTTTTCAAGAACGAGCAAACACAAAATTGTATGTATATCCGGATATTCCTTCTGCAAGAAGGCCAGTTCTTCATGAAGAAGGTTTATCAGTTCTAACACCTCCGGCAAATTGGGAGGGAAAATTGGAAATGGTCAGGCAGGTTCCCATGATGTGCCAGTAAAAGACGGTCCTTATTTTTCCGAAAATGAAGGAAGAACACCCCGTTTAATCGAACAACCTGAATTAAATGACCTAGTTCGGGACTTCCACTTGTCCAAAGAGAATGCTGAACTCGTAGGGTCTAGATTGAAAAAATGGAATTTACTAGCCCCTAAAACCAAAGTTACAATATTTAGGAACCGTAACCATGAGCTATACTCGTTTTTTTCTATGCAGGAAAAAATGTGTGTCTTTCTAAATCCAAATGGTGTGATGGCTTTCATTTATAAATTCGTCTAAAACAAGTTTAAAAGCCGTTTTGCTCCATAATGATAACAAAACACCCTATATTCCTCTGGCACATGCATTTGCCATGAAGGAAACATACGAAAGTAACTTACATGCTCTAAATGCAATAAGTTATAATACGTATAAGTGGCAAATATGTGATGACCTGAAGGTCATAGGACTATTACTAGATCTTCAGGGCGGATATACGAAGTTTTGCTGTTTTCTTTGCCTTTGGAAACGTAGGGCAACACACAGCCATTACCAAGTAAAAGAGTGGCCTCCGAGAAATGAAGATATTCGAGGTCAAGCTAACATAAAGAATATACCTCTTGTTAATCCCAAAAACGTTTGTTACCTCCATTACACATTAAACTGGGGTTGATGAAAAATTTTGTTAGAACATCAGACAAAGAAGGTGATGTGTTTAAATATCTTGAACACGTTTTTTCAAAATTAAGTGATGCAAAGCTCAAGAAAGGTATATTTGTTGGACCACAAATAAGAAAACTTCTAAGTGATCAACAGTTTGATCAAAAATTAAGTAATGTTGAATTAGCTGCGAGGAGTTCTTTCAAAAACATTGTTCGAGAGTTTTTAGGGAACAAGAAAGTAGAAAATTACAAAACACTCGTGGAAGGCCTACTTGAAAACTACTGCATAATGGGATGTCGCATGTCTCTCAAAATCCATTTTTTGCACACTCATTTGAATTTTTGTCACAGAAAATTCGGGTGCTGTCAGTGATGAACAAGGGTGAAAGTTTCACCAAGACATATAGTGTTGTTGGCTAGTGTTTTACATGACGGAAATCAGGTGTAGTAATCATTCGACGTAATTAGTATCACTGTTAATGAAGAGGAAAACACCTTGAGAGCTCAAGCTTTATTAGGCATCGATAATAGCTAGTTTTCTATGAAATTCGAAACTTGTAAATTTCAAAATATCAAACACCTTTTTTTAGAAAATATAATGAATTAATTTTTCCAACATTTCACTTCCCCAGTATTTTTTGGGATTACTACTTGACAATGCAAGAGTGAAAATATTCTTTCGGTAAGAAGAACTTTCTCAATAAAATTTATTTTTGTGTGTTACTTGTTTATATAACTAGGTAGGTGTTTTCTCGGATCTCTCCACATGAAAAGCATTTTATGGTTTCGATTCACACACCACTAAATATGTTTTTTTTTCAGTTTTCACGAACTTGGTGTTTATGACGACACCGCAATGATCGACTACATTTACAACATTTCACAGAAAACTAATATATCCTGCCTTGGATATTCTCAAGGAGCAACTCAATTTTTTGCTATGCTTTCTGAAAAACCGGAATATAATAAGAAATTAACTGTCTTATTCACAATGGCACCTTTGGTGTTCATGAAAAATTCGGATAATAACATTTTCAGATTGATGGCTGACCATTATGATACTGTTGAAGTGAGTAGAAATCTGTTTTTATTATTCCATTTTGGCTGAATTCTTTTCAATTCAATCAATACGAATGCTCGAGTCACGATATTGATGAAGTGGTAGAATCTAAAAGACCAAGAGTCATATGATTTGAAATGTTCGATAAACTCGTCGATTTCCATGAAGCAACATGAAACATTTTTCAGTGATAATAATTTGATGATAACAAGTTAATGCAAAATCAGGTTCTCAAGATGATCACAGATAATTGATTGGTTATTTCTAGAAAAACAATTCATTATTGGCTTAAAAATATCTGAAATATAAAATACTAAAAAATACTATGAATAGTACATTTTTCTTTGAATACGGCTGAGTATCGATCTCACTTCTCAAATATAATTTCCATATATTCCAAGTTAAGTAGTTTCCACATGATTTCCCTATTCTCAAATTGCGAGTGAACTATTGAATGCCCTTCTGTTTACATTTCATATAGAATAGCCGCACACTGATAACTTTATAGCATGATTAAAAAAATAATATAATCTAGTCGGTTGAGATTGGTCTGCTGTTATTCAGATGCCCACTTTCAACAGAAAAGTTGCTGATAGCTCATTCAAATTTATGAAAATAATGCAGCATAAATTTGTCTGAGTTGTCTTGTGCTCAAAAAGTCCAAAGAAATGTTTTTTTGGGACAGCCGACGTGACATACTGATGTACAATATCGTATTATCGAAAGTACATTTCTGATATTTGTGGTTTTTTTTTCAAGTTTTATGTTCGGTACATTACTTCATTGAATTTTTTTGTGGATAATTTGAAAGCACTAAATCAAACTTGTTATCATCGTCGACCAATTCGAAAAATAGGGTGTGAAACTACACAAATTCCAAATTCTTCTCATTTATTTTGTGAATCTAAAATCTGGTGATTTTTTGATCTCTTACCTTTTCTTTTTCTTCTACCATACTAATAATAATAATAATAATAATATGTTTATTTGTCAATTGTTCACATGCTAATTTACATCGATTATATTATATATAATATACAAATAAACACAAATAAACACCAACACAGAACATCGCGAAAGCAGAGCTTGTATGCGATGAAACTGCCAAAATTTTCGATCAAAAAATATACGTATTTTATGAAATAAACTATAGCAACAAACAAAAAAGAAATACAGAAGAAATAATCTGGACAATAAATAAAACTTTTGTATGTAGTATTTAATAAAAATAATAATAAACAAAAAGAACTACAAACCATTGCAAACAACAGGATTTGCCAATACAAAAAAAAAGAACAACATACCATGTTACTAGGACGTCAGGCTCTTAGTAACAAATTAATTTGATGTCGTTCGTCCAGAACGAATGTTTTAATTAATTTTTTGAATTTTTTAAAATGTTCTGCCTGTCGAATGGACTCCGAAAGTATATTATAGGCTCGACTAGCTGAGTGCAAATGACTTCGATGACCAATTGTTTTGAGTGTCAGTTCTGTTTTGATAAATTTTTTTACTTTATTTCTAGTGTTATGTACGTGGTCTATATAATCGTGACGTTTATGTTTATATTGAAAATACACTAACTGTATGTAGTACAACTGACTAATATCAAATATTTTAGCCTCTTGATAAAGAAGGTTTGTAGGATACAACATGTCTCTTTTAAATATTATTTTTAGGAATATTTTTTGTAGAGTCTCAAGTTTGGACAAATGGCAGTTTTCGTTCAGGTTCTCACATCTTTCACACACAGCTAGAAGAAGACTACGGTGTTTTACTCACTGACCGTAGGCTTCCTTCCCGTACTAACTGAACTGCAGCACAAAATTCCTTGAAATGAAATGCGGACGAAAAGTACCATTCCTACCGTACCATCCGTACCGTCCCTTGAGAAAGTGCGGAGCGAACGTAATGTCCGTACCATACCATCGCGACTCAATGAGCGCCAAGATTGATATCAGTTCCAAATTGCATCTTCTTGTGCTTTTTATTCAAAGCATTATTTCATGAACTCATATTTTATTATCATCATCAAAGTTTTTTGATTAATCAATTTCTCATGCAAGACATGATTTAAATACTTGTTGATACTGATGAGAATTTTGCCAATGAAATTTGTTTCGAAGAGTGTTCATTTTTTCATGAAGAATAAAATTACCCCAACGAAATAAGTACTGGAAATAATCTTGTAATGTGACAACATGAGCTGGAAAAAGTACTCCTTAAAAAAGATTTATGTTTTCAGAAAATTGAAAAAAAATTGGATATCAGTGAATTTCTCTCGCATGATCCAATATTTACGTCAGCCGGAGATTTATTCTGCAAAAAAAGTTCGGATTATCGAAGAGTTTGTGCAGCTATTACATCTAACCTTTTAGGATTCCAGAAGAAACACGTTAGCGGAGTAAGTACCATGTCAAAATCTTCAATCCATGATCCTGCAAGCAAATTATATTATATTTATGAACCGAGGCATCAACTTCATGAATGAATTTTTTTCTAGTCAATGTTGGAAAACTTATGGAAGGTTTTCCCAGGAGGATCGTCTTTCAAGGAATTCAAGCATTATGCTCAATTGATTTCATCAGGTAACTCAAAATAATTGTTCATTGACTTGTTCAACTATTCTGTTTACGAATTTTATAATCATATTCTACAAATGAAATGGCTATGACAGATTGGTAATAGATTTTTCGGTAGTCAAGAAATAAGCAACTTTTTCACACTTTCACCTACTCTCTATCCCTGTGCATAGACTTGAATTTGAATAGCCCTGAATATATGGACTTGTTTTTATCAAAAATTTAATATATTTCGAAAATACTTCCGAGTTTTGGTTCATCGACTTTTCAGGTAAATTCAGAAAATACGATTATGGAAGTGATAACACTAATATATACCACAATGAAACGCCTCCAGAATATGATCTCCAACAAATAGAGACTCCGGTTGGTGTCTACTGGGCTGAGAATGATGGGATCTTGAATGTCATAGTAAGTACATCATAAATTTCAAATATTCTTCGAAAGACAATTTTTGGTATTCAACATTTCACAATCTGAAAAATAAACAAAGGTGCACGGATGGATAATCTGCTGAAGTATAATAATGAATGGCAAATTGAATAGTTTACCCCATAAAGTTACTGAGAGTAGACACCACTGAATAGGTCAATTGATCAATAACAGTAACAAGTTTGCTCATGAAATAAAATTAATGAAACTTGAATATCAGATTGTTTTAACAGTTCTGTCTTTTGCCTGGTCCTGATTGGCGACAGTTGAACCGATGAAAAAGTTAACGAAGTGTTTGAAAAGAGGGTAGTCGATTGGCGAGAGGTCTGGGTAGTATGGTGGGTGAGGCAGGATTTCGACGCTCAATTTTCGGTCCGGGATTTGTGAAACGTATGGACAGGCGTTGTCGTAGGGCAAGATCGGACCTCTTCTGTTGACAACTGCCGGCTGCTACTGATGCAGTTTTCGATATATTTCATCGACTCCGTCACAATAGAACTCTGCTATGATGGTTTCACCTGGTTGCAGAAAGTTATACTGAATCATACCAGCCTCTGACCCCTATCAGTAACCATGGTCCTCTTTTGGTGGGTTTTCGCTTTCTAGAAGTGCCTGGGTGGCTTATCGGTGTTCAACCACTGTCCTGAACGTATCTTCTGTCGTCGTAGAGGATCCACTTCTTATCACACGTGATGAACCGATCCAAAGACGGATCGTTTTGGATGCGCGAAAGCAAAGAGGTTCATCATGGTTTGCCAGGATGGTGTCTTCAACATCTTCGTCTATCGCAGTCGCGTGATGGGAAAAGAGGTTCCTGACCCATGGTGCAGGGCCTGCCGCGAGGTGCCAGAGACCCTAATGCACTTGCTATCAGCGTGTCCAGCATATGCGGTTTCGGCCTATATTCATCGACATAACGCGGCCTAAGAGTGCTATACTACCATCTATGGCACTCTTACGGTATTGACGAGACACCGGTGCTGCCCTATGCTTCGGGGGATATTGAATTCGTTGTGGGGAACGATAAGTGCTAAATTTATTGGAACTATTCTTTACTCACTCTCAGGCTCATACAAGCTGATAAGCCTGATGTAGTCCTTCTCGACCACCAGAGCAAAACGATATTTGTCGTGGAGTTTTCAGCTCCTGGCGAGACAAATATCGTCAGTGAAGAGAAGGAAAAACGGATAAAATATCGAGATTTTCTCTTCGAACTCCGCAGACTCTATTCAGATCACTCTGTCAAGATGGTTGTTCTGATTATTGGAGTCCTTGGTGGAATGATGCCCTCTCTACTCTCGAATCTTGAAATCGTAACGGCTTGCCGCACTAAGGCAGAAATCTTAGCCGCACAGATGCAGAAGGATGTCATTCTTGGCTCACTGCGCTTGCTCAGGACACATTATTCTCGGACCCAATGATCACTTATCCTACGGTGTGGGAAGTGGTCATGGGTTGATAATGCTGGCGCGCCCTCCCGAATGTATCGGGGCTTCGGGGGATAGGGCCTGACCAGCACACACTACGGTAAAAAAAATATTCTATTTACCAAAGTCAAAAAGAAAGTACACAAAGGAAAATACAATGGGTTTGGTGAAATCCCGAAGCGGAATTCAGGAGACAAGCGTGTGCAGTACGCCAAATCCTGCTCTTACATTCAACTCCTTCACAATATACAAAACTTGAAGTATTCATCAAACATATAATGTACAAAAAATTATAGTGCCTATGTAGTAAGAGAGAGAGAAAAATATAAAAGGAATAAAAGAGGGGTAATTCATAATGCTTACAGAATGACCTGAATTTTTGCATTTTATGCGAGACTTTAGTTGCATGATAGTTTTTTTTCATATAGCCAGTTACGAGTCTGTAGCTTGAAAAGTGGCAGTTTCAATTTTTTTAGATATGTGAGCAGACTATTATGATGAGTGTAGATATAAAAACTGAACGATCTCTCAAACAGTGCTGTGCTGTGGTGGGGGCAGTTATTGTATTTTTGTGTCGGATATTCACTTCATGTTTATTTTCACGAAATCAAACTTTATCATAAAGATACTGCAGTAATTTGTTGATGATTATTTTGTGAAATGAGGTTAGAGATTGCAATAAGAAACGATCCTTCACTGACAACCACAACCACAGATATAGCGTAAACAGGAATTTAGAACTTTTTGTATCCTGCACAAATCTAAACTATCCAAACAGGGAAGTATTTAGGTATGCTCGGTGAGGGTCTCCTGTCTCAAGTTCGCGTAAGCTCTCTGGATGTATAGTGAAACTTGCTTTTTGAACCTGAAATTATTATCCAACATCAAGCCAAGATTTGTTGCCTCCGGTACTACATTTACAGTTATACCATTCAGAGAAATATTAACTTGAGGTAAATACCTTTGGCAAAATAACTTGGGACCAAACATAAGGACCTGCATTTTATCAGGATTGAGTTGCAGTTCGTGTTTCACAGAAGAATCATAAATGTTTTGAAGTTCAGCAACAGCTTCATTCAACAATTCTGGTTTAAACGATACATAAAGTTGGGTATCATCAGCGTAAGCATGATACTCACGCAGAGATTGATATTAGTCAGTAGATAGATATAGATCCTTGCGGAAAAACGCGCATTAATCTCACCGATTCAGATAGTTCGCCTTCGAGTTTAGTTTGTGTAGACATCGAAATGTGACAATTTCTGTTGATTATCCAAATCATGAGGAACCCACTTTTCAAGCTTCATGACCTTTCCAATACGTTTTGAACCATAAAAAACCTCACGGGGGCTAAAGCCCAGTTCTTTCGCCATCCCACGCACCATTTTTGTTGGTCAATCTCCGGAACGAAATTTCGCAAACTAAAGTCAAACAGTGAATTCATTAACACTGTCATCAACACTGTTCGACTGGTTGCTTGGATTCAATGTAAATTCGTAGAGAAAAATGAGTCAAATTCGTCGACATCACAAAAAATCAAAATTTGGAAAAAGGAACAGCAGGAGAAGTACTAAGTACAAGAAGTACTGAATTCTTCATCGTTCAGTTCATATCACGACACATTAGAATGAATATTTATCGAGACATGGAGCTACAAAAACACATTGCTTTCAAACTCGAAAAACAGTGACACTGAAAACCTCAGCCACGAAACTCTAAACCATTTTGTCATACCTTGAACAGTGTTCATTGTGATTTTTTTTATATTTCCTTTACTTGCATCTTTCTTATAAAAAACATTGGCCAAATTCGACAAGTTTTCAGCGTCTAATAATTGGTTCATGATGCTTTTCTTTTCTTTTTCGGCAAATCCAGATGTTGTATCGCAACCGGAAAAACAATGCAGGAATGCAACAATATTTTTGAAGGAAACAGCAATAAATAGGCATTCACAAATATTATTTAAAGAAGAATCTACTGACTTCCCAAAATATTGTAGATGTTCACTTTTTCAAATCTATCATTTGTGTTTTATAGTAGTTTATTTAGTGTTATATTTCAATTTGCAATTTTTTCGTTCATCGATGTAACATGGAATCTTACGTTTTTTGAGTGATTGAGGTGTAGATTTCAAGAAATACCTCAAAATTGTACATTTCATCAGCAATGAAAATATTCCTTTTTCTGAGCAGAGATACAAAATGGAAAAAAAACCATGTACAAAACCTAACAAGTAAATAACCATTAATCTTCTCATCAAGTTGAAATTTCCAAAATTTCAGTTATTTTCGATTTTTCTTCCGGAGTAACCTCATGCAATGAATGCATGAATAATTGTTATTTTTTGTAGGATAAGAAACGTTTCCTACTACATATCTACAAAGTGGTCGTTGATCGCGGTGTTCATTCAGAAATATTCAACCATGGAGACTTTGTCTTCAATGGACAGGCTGCCTCTCTTTTGAACTATTGGGTTATCAATGATTTGAATGAACATAACAACAAAATAGACATAACAACTACAAGAGAACCAACAAGTAGTAGTTCTAGTATTTCCAGTACTACAGCCGAGTCAACCACCCACCATGGTTCCTCTTCACGTTCCTTGTCTCCATCATTATTTATTTTAGTGATTACTATACTTTTCACAAGTACACGTGTTCTCATGACAAGTTGATATTGAAACAAATCAATGTTATGATATTATAATGAATAAAATTATAAATTGTTTCTGTTTTATTTCATTTCTCTACTATGTCTTATCGATGTCTTATCGCAAACTGAAACATTTCGTCTCAGGCCGAAACTGCCTACTTTGTCGAAATACATATTCAGAACATGCCCTTCAACTTGTTGGAAAATTAATTTTCAAATCAGTATTTGAATAAATCTTGGTTTTTAAAACTTATATAACCTTTCAAATCTTTTGGAATAAAAGATTTTACATTTCAAGCTACATTTCAGCATCTCTGCTGTTCCCTCGTTCAAAATGGAAAAAAGCACAATGGTAGTAGAATATGAAAAAGAGTTATCGATATATTAGAATTGAAATTTATTCAGCATAATGAATTAGATTGAATAGATTGACTAGACATATATTATACAGGTAAAGAGACGGAGTATCAGTTTCAGGTTGTTTCTCGTTGAACACCAAGGAGTAGGTTCAGTTGAACTTCACGACAACCAGAAGTACGGGCTGTTCACTGTTTGATATAAAATCATAGGCTTTCAGCGCTGGAGTCACGATTGAAAAGAACAAAATCCGTGCAAGTAGTCCCTGGATGAATGAAACGTTTCGTCTGATAATGCGGCAGACATCATGAGTGGTATGTGCGTTCACTGCAAGGACGAAAGTTATTCTCAAATCTTTAGAGAAATTCTCATCTTCCACAATCTAAAGGAGTCACAAGTTTCTGCAGCCAAGTGATCTATATTTGAGCAACAAGGACTACCAAAGTTCTGATTGTAGAGTATCTCACAGTGGGCGAAAAAGTATCCTCAAATTCGACTCACAGCCTCATACAATCATTCATAGTTTCATCCATAGCCTCATACCGTATGACAATATCCTGTTGTTCTCTTTTTTTAACCAATTTGCAAGAAATGACCTTTTGATCTTAAGCTCTGCTGACTATAGTTAACGTTTTGTTGGCTGATAGTATTGATCTCCTATTACGCTCTCATTCTCTGGTTTGTTTTCGAGCATTACCTCTTCCCTTCATCAGATTTCCAATGAACATTATCGAAGTTCGTATGTTTCGTATCGCCTTCTAAACACTCTTTTCCCACTTCCACAAATTCAAGATCAGTAACCTTCTAATCAGTAAATGGACTTTTATTCGGCAAACAATCATTTTCAGGTGTTGAACTAAACTTGATTCTAGCTTGATTGTCATGTTTTCGAAAAATATCTTCTAGCAATATTTATTTTGGGATTTTAAACCTGTCATGCGCAATATGCTTCTGAATTTTCACTACAGCCTAGGAAAGTATTCATTTAAAATTGAGAATTCCACTTATCCATTTCATATTTGATAATATGTACATGAGCTTCACATTCAAAGATGTATTAGTAACTGAGATTTCATTCATTACCTGACCATTCTTCTTCTGAGGTCAGGTCACATAAACTATAGACCCAGTAGCATAATACAACAAGTAGGCTCTCTTACCACGCGATCCGCCCGAGTTGCCGGGGACTTTCAACCGCCTTAAGCCGGCTTTCAACGGCGCGGGACTTGGCAAGTCTGGCTCGCGAATTGGAGAGTCACGCGCCGTGGAAATGCGAAGTCAAAGGATGAACGAGCATCGCAGGCTCGGCTTGTCCGAGCTTGTGAATCCGTTCCCACACAGAATGCTTGCATTAGCAGTTTTCCCTCAGTGGCGTTGTGTTGTCAAAAGGTGGCTAGTGCATCCATTGTTTTTAAATTTTCCTATTTTCACTTTAATTTTACTTTCAGAATGGAGTGGTCTAACGATTTAATTCTAGAATTTTTGGAACTTTATGAAGGGGAACCAGCTATAGGGAACCCAAAGGATCCGAAGCATAAAAACAGAAATTTGGTGCACGATAGCTGGAAACAGATTGAAAGCAATTTGAGTATGAAATGTTTCATTACAGATCTCAAAAAGAAGAAAGAAACGCTGATGGCAACTTATCGAAAACTGTTGCAAAAAGTTAAAAGAAGCAGTGGAACTGCCTCCGGAACTGACGACGTTTATAAGCCAGATTTACTTACCTACTTCGACTTTTATACAAAGACGTCATCCACCATCGTCTTTTTCTTTTTTCTTTATTTTTGTTTGCTTTTAAATATTCACTGCTCATTACTATTAAAGCTGCAGCACAAGCTGCAATACGCTGATTTTGTTCTTGTTGGCGTCTCATCATTTTCCTTGATGCAAACTACTCCATTGTTTTCACCAGAATAACAATCCAGTGGGTGCGTCGAGCGCAATTTAGAACTTGGCGAGTGACGTTGCAAGCTGTTCAACGCGCCGTGGGAATAGTCACTGCTTGTCGACTTGCCACTTGGCAAACTGTTTGCCAAACCGATGAACTCGGCAAGTCACTTGCCAAGTCCCGCGCCGTTGGAAGCCGGCTTTAGGATGAGATTCTCATCCAACGCGTTCAGTACTGTAGTATCGAAGGATTTGACGGTACCACGAACATCAGATTAATTATAATAAATGGTCATAAATGGATATTGTGTTTAGTTTACTTGCTGTTATTATTGTTTTCAGTTCTATATTTGGTTATAAGTAATTTACCACAAAATATTCTATAATGATCTTAAATTTCATTTTTATATGAGCGCACGCCTATGGTAAAAGAATGAAATTTGCTCCACACTTCGTCTCGAGGTCACCGAGAACTTTATGAATTAAAGAATAAAAGTAGTGGGAGTGGACTTACTGGTTGATTTTAACTATGCTATGGATCTGTGTGATGACAAATTTTTTGATATAGAGCTGTTTAGATAGCATCTTCCCAATATCCTTCTGTTAAACCTGCATTCAGCAACATCTGGCTTTTTCTACCATTAAAGAATCTGTACGTTTTGTGATAGAATTTTGTTGTGGAATATGACACCGATATCTCATGTTCAGTTTCTTTCGTTTTTCAATAACCTCTGGATTCAATGCCATTTTATGTTTCTCAAGTTATAATATTGTTTCCAGTTTCATTTTATGCTAGAGCCCGAAACTTCATAAACTCACTTTTCACTTTATATTTGAAATGAATCCAATAAGCAAATATGTTTCTTGTGTAATCATCAACAAATATCAGCATGTACTTATCACCATTTGAATATCCAGTAAAAAAGAACCGAAAACATCAGAATGAATTCAATCAAGGATTTTCTCGTCTCTTCTGAATGTGATCTTCTTAAAGGGTTCCCGGTGTTACTGTCAGCCGACGCGTATTTCAAGAATTACATGAAATGTCTTTGGAAAATTCATACCAGATGTCATTTTCATTTCAAGCAGATTCATTCTTGCTCGATCAATAATTCCAAAAATTATTTGGCACCAATCATAGATAAATCACGGACAGAGAAAAAAATTTTCGCCACAGTAAACTGAATATTTGCAGGAATACAAACTGTAGAAAAATCAATATATGTATCTGCTGAACTCTCACATATATCTGGGTCTACAAGACAGGTTATTGAAGCTGAAAATGCATCATCCTAGAGATGAATTTTGATTTAATGAACGATTTGAAAATGAAAATGAAAACATGAAATGTTTTCATTTTCTGTTCTAACCTCTAGTATTTGTATGAATCCTAAACTAATGAAATCAGGATAAATTTCTGAGTTGAGAAGGGCTTTACAATCATGACGTCTATAAAAATCAGCCAATATTATAGATAACAATACATTTTTTGATCCACCGTAAGTACTGGACATTGAATTTTGCATAACTGGGTTCTCATGACTTGAAATCTTTTGTAAAATTAGCTGAAGTTTCAGTTTGAATTGAAACAGACTATCAAGTCTCTCTCTTTGGACATTAGTTTTTCTCTTCTCAATTCATATATCAATTGAAAGCATCTACTTGATGTCTGGGATTTCAGTTGATATATAACTTCAACTTTTTGACTCTTTAGCAAAGGCAGAGGGTAGGCTCAATAAAAAATAAAAAAGACTTGCTAATTCGAATTTAAATAATTACCATTACATTGGCCCGAGAAGAAAATTCCGTAGGTAGGTTTTTAGGTGCCTAGGTGTAGAAAATGACTTTTCCGGGGTTGACGTAGTTACTGGTAGAGTCGAAAATATGTTCACCAATATATAAATGTTGAGGTATAATTTCCTGTTGCACTCTCCGATAGCCTCAATGGCGCAAGAAGGCCGGTCCGAAGGGCTTTTGCCCTGTCACAACAATTTCCATAGTTGAAATCCGCCTTGTGCCTCGTCTAGTTCCACCAGGTCCTCGTACATCACTAGGTCCTCTCTTGTGAATGACGTTTCCTTCTCCGAACAGACCATTGGTATAAGAGTTTACATATCACCAATCACTTCCTTGTGGTCAGTAAATTTATTTTGAGCTGAGAAGTTAAATCTTCTAATAGGGGGTTTTCTACAGTTATGTGGTAATACTGTTTGGGGTTATTGGCATTTGGATCAGCGCGATGCTTCTGAACTGATGTCAACCTCTTCATTGTCTTCGGCCAATAAATCCTTCGCTTCTGTGAATGAATTTGAAAATTCTTATTCACTATTGAATTGAATATCTTGAAAGTGTGATATTACGTTCTCAATATGGTCGACAGCTGTTATTAAGTCACAAAGAGGTGACTGCGGGACTTTGCATAGTGTTAATGTTGCTGCAAATACCTTCGCCACAAAATAGAGTGCCACCACGAATTCTCTGTCAAGAGCCAACCCAAGGGGGGTCCGGACCATTCCTTGGTCACGGCCTTGATTTCAGCCCGTTGGGATTGTTCAGGTAGATTTTCACCTTTAGAATAATTTTGAGATAATAAATTTGGGACTATTTCTGGATATTTCTTTTTAACTTTCTTTAACATTTTTTATTCATCCGAAGAAACACGTGTTGAACCTCTACCGAAAATGATCACGACTCTCGCTCTTTCAAAGTACTAACTGAGTCCAACTCAGTTGTAATGATTAACAACATTCATTTTCTTCATAAAATAACTGAAAAATAATTTATTCAGTCTGAACAAATACGTATCTGGGAAAAGTCTCTAAATTACA